TGCAATGCCTAATTGTTATTATATTTTATTGTAATGTTGAATTTAGGCAACTAAATGTAAAGTCTAAAATGAAATAATATGTAAAAAATAGAGAATACCTACTTTGAATTTTAAAAATCTTTGCACTGGGATTTTTATTTAATCTGTAGATATTTAAATATAATCTCTTTCTTTAAACGTTTTAAAACAAATCATTTTAGTAAAAATGGCAAAGGACTTGTATTTAATTTTTAAAGAGATTTGACGTTTAAATATCTAAAGAATAATAAAAATCCCAGTGAGCCCTACTAAAAATAAAGTCACAAAACGACAAAAAAATCATCAGAATTTCTGACGTTCTGAGACTGCATTTGTTACGATTGCAGCCACATAACGTCAGGCTTGTGTCATTTTTCATCAGAAAACTTCAAAAGTAGTCAGATTTTTTATACAAAGTCGACACCCTCTTTTACCTGGAAAAAGGTCAACTGACCGTCATAAAATTGAAGGGAAATCTTTTTATTTGTTTATGTTTATATTTATTTAAACATTATACTTGTTTTTCATCGACTTAGAATTCTTCTCACAATATGTTCTTGTTATATAAACAATAATATATCCTTTAGAACTTAAATTCAAAAATGATATCAGTTTTTATTTATCAATTACGGTTTTCGAGATACGTTACAGTTTTCTTAAAAAAATGTTTTTTAAAATAAATTTTAGATATTTGCAATCGTGAAGATTTCTAGATTCTGAATTTATATTCATTTCACCTGAAATATTAAAATTGCAAAACTTTTGAGCAATAAAAATCAGGTTGAAGACCCGAAGCGCGTAACAATAGACCCAAAATTCTATTGTGAAAAAAGGGCTACGCACAAATTTCAAGTTTTTATGGTACTTTACATTTACCAACTATCTTTCGGTGGGGGACTGTAAATTAAAAAAATGAATTCAATGAGAAATAATCACAATCCATAAACATCAGTATTCAACAGTAGGAGCATAAAAAACCTTGTAGTCAGAATTAACCAAAAGCATCAGAAAACGTCAAAGTAGTCACAAAACATCAAAATTCTTCAGGAAACGTCAAAGTAGTCACAAAACATCAAAATTTCTGACGTTTTTTCATTATTCCTGATTTTATTTTTAGCAGGGAGAAGTTTTATAAAATTCAAAGTATTCTAATATTTTCAGTTGTTTCATTTTTAGATTTTATATTTAGTTTCAAATTGAATATTCCAACAAAAGTAAATATTTTGACAAATAAAAGTAATAATGTAGGTCACTAGAAGATCTGCTCACATTATATTCAGTATGGGACTCGGCACTAGACTTGCCTTGGACTCCGCCCAGAAGCGCCTATCAATGTGTTCAGTCTGCTTTGTTCCGCGTATAAGTGTGCATAAGAACGAAAACATTTTAAGCCTACTGACGTGCTTTAAACCTTTTACGATTCATTTCCCTGTTTTCTATCCTGGAGCCGCAAAGGTAGACAAGTTTGGGAATGAAATCTAAGTTACTAGTGCTGAACTCCACAATTTTCAATCGGATTTTTCTGCGTGATACTGTCTTGATTTGATACATAAATGATTTTGAATTAATATATTCTGCAATTCTTACATGCTACTTAATTTCTTGATCGAATTCCATATTTTCTTGGATCAAGAATATCTGTTCTTCTCACAAAATAAATGTTTTCTTCATTTAAATCTTGAATTACTTGAACGAACGTTACAAAAAATTGAATGAATCAAATAAAATAATTCTATTAACTATATATATTCTTAGAACAAGAAAATATTTTATTCATTTAATACATTTCATACTTCGTATAAGAAGACTAACTTCTTGGTCGAATTCCATATTTTCTTGGATCAAGAATATATGTTCTTCTCCCAAATATCCTATGTCAAGAAAATCGTTTTCTTGAATCAATACTTTAATAGTCTTGGCCGTATTCAATCCCACGATTTGCTTCAACCAAGAAAAATTTTCTTGGTTCAATACTTTTTTTTTCAGTGTACAGATTTTACAGCATCAAAAGTAAAAATGTGGCTTTTTTACCCCACTCTACCCTAGTTTTATATTAAAAATGAATTAATAATTAGATAAATAATTATTCAATTAAATTAATTTATTTATAGTTAATTAAATTATTTAAATTAATTTATGAAGTTTTAATTAACCAATAATATTTAGTAACAATTATTTAATTTAATTTTTTATATTATTATTATTTAATTTTATTCTTCGTAAAAGATATAAATTTAAATAAATAAATTTTCAAACTTTTTTTTGAAAAAATTTCTACAGAAAAAAATGTGTATTTAAAAAAAATGTAAAGATAATAAATTAATTATTTTCTAATTTTGTTTATAGAAATGTTTTAAAATTAATTTATATTATGAAGTTTTAATTAACAAATCATATAATAAATATTAAGTAACTATATACAAAGTTATTCGTGTTACATTGAATGAAATCATTTTCAAATTTTCCCGCGCAATCTGCTTGGTATGCGCATCAAGCGTGGAAGATTTTTGTTTCCTGTATTCAGATGGTCGTTTAGGTTAGTGGTTAGGGTGGAGTCCCATGACAGCGTTTTGCGTTGCGTCGTAATGGGAGAGAAAAAGACGCAAATATACGTTTGCTGCATTCTCTCTCATTACAACGCAACGCAAAACGCTGCCATGGGACTGCGGCCTTAGGCTGGAGTCCCATGGCAGCGTTTTGCGTTGCGTTTTATAACTAGGGAATGAGTGCAAATAGAGCAAACCTATATCTGTATCTCTCTCACACTCATGGCCTAGTTACAAAACGCAACGCAAAACGCTGTCATGGGACTCCAGCCTTAGGTTCTCGATTTCTGTTCTGCAAACTAGGGTTCAATTCCCACTTCCCCCAAATTTTATTTTAAAAAAACATTTGTTTCGCAATAAATTGTTGTTGGAAATCTAAACTTAATCCAGGTAGTAATAAGTTAAATAGATAAGAGCAAGTTGTAAAATAATTTTTTAAAATTATTTTTCCATTGAAATTAATAATGGTGTTTATTATTAATAATTAATTTTGTCAACAAAAAAATAATTATAATAAATTCATTATTATTATTATTATTATTATTATTATTATTATTATTATTATTATTATTATTATTATTGTTATTGTTAATGTTATTGTATTAATAAGTAATAAATACATATTAATTTTCCAAGTGTACAATTTTATAATTATGTAATAGCATATATTATATTCTTTAACTTAATCAATTACGTTTCCTGAAAACTTACATTTCTATTTTTGGGGAAAATTGCTTATCATTTTTTAGGGAGCTTAGAAGAGCTAGTTTTATGGAAAGTTACACAGAAAACTTTCTTTAAACTTAAATTTCTATTTTTCACAAAAGTTACATTGCAATTTTTCAGCAAATTTATATCGATAATTTCCAGGAAGCTAACACCGTTAAGTTTAAACCAGAGGACATTTAAAAGTTCAGGGAACTTAGCAGAAACTTAACCGCGTTAAGTTCGGAACTTAACGCGGATAGTTTTCTACTAAGTTCCTACAAAGTATTGTGCTATCTGGGAACTTTTGGACAATCTAACAAATAAACATTCTAACTTTTGAAAATTCTAACAAATAAACATTCTAACTTTTAATAATTCTAACAAATTAACATTCTAACTATTGGAAATTCTAACAAGTAAATATTGTAACTTTTGAAATTCTAACAAATGGTTTTTCTAACTTTTAGAATTTAGGCCAAAATAAGGCGTCTCAAAAATGCATCCAGCCGATTGCTTGGTTAAAACACCGGAGGTATAGAAGCACCTTTAAGGCCTTTCTCCAATAGGTTTTAAAAAGTGTGCGAATGACTGCGTCTGCGTCGGTTGCTATAGCAACACATGCTAAAATCAACGCAACGCAGTCATTCGCAGACAAACGCAGAGTTTTTGGATCCTATTGGAGAAAGGCCTTTAAAGGCCTTTCGAAGACTCTCAGCTTCTCCATGGTCGGGGGCGATATCCCGAACCATATTTGATAACCGTAAGCGTTTGTCTGCGAATGACTGCGTTGCGTTGATTTTAGCATGTGTTGCTATAGCAACCGACGCAGATGCAGAGTTTTAGGAACATATTGGAGAAAGGGCATAAGGAGACCGAACGCCACTCACGCAAAGTGGCCGCACTTTTCATTACCGTGTTTCCTCTGGGCTCACTTACATCGATAGAAGCGCCCCCAACGGGGAAAAATGTCACTTATAATCGTCTGCTAATTGTTATTGTACAGTGCAGTTGGTATTTTTATAGGTTAGTGTTGTTTGGAAATAGTTGACAATTATCATTAATAAGATAATTATATAATATAATAAGATAATTATCTTATAATTATAATATATTATTATTTATTCAATATTAATTTTGAAAGTGCTCGGTTGGAAGTGAAAAGAGATAAATAAGTAAGTATATGTGAGAATTGTTGCGATTAATATTGTTTATATACATAACTTAATTGTTACTAAAATTCCCTCTATAATTAAGACAGAAGAATTGCAATTTTTCACTACACAGACAGCAGCAGGCATTTTCACTCACAATTTATTTTTTACATGCTTCATTGAACTAACAATCACTTTTATAAACAAAATTAGAGGTTATGTCATGTCTTATTTTGTTTTTAAATATAATGATCTTCTCCTCCGCGAGAGGCTCTTCTATCGATGTAAGTGAGCCTAGAGGAATCACTGTTATGAAGTCGGTTCTACAATGGGCACGTCGGACGTGGTCGTCTGACGTGCCGTGCTGACGTCACCCATGCTATTCAAATGGGTGACGTCAGCAAGGTACGTCAGACGTCCACGTCCGACGTGCCCATTGTAGAACCGACTTTAGGGGATATGCATGCGTCTCGTTTTTTCTACCGTTCGAGGTGTAAACTCACCGTTAGCGTGTGACCGTGCGCGCGTTTCGAACTTTTTCCCTTCATAGATGGTTTCCATATTCTATGGTATAGAGGAAGCTTCGTCAATGATTCTTGGTTTACGCGGGATGCGATTGGGGAAGTCGGCATCATTCCTATTTCTGATTAAAGTAGTTTGTTTATATCCTCACCTACATCCAAGCTCGTCAAAGATTTATTATTTACTTTAATAGATTAAGGTTCGAGTGTCTATGAATACTGTATAATTTAAAAAATGTCGTTTTGTGATGGACTGCTTACTTCTTGAATGAATTTAACGCTGGTTTTTTAAATAGAAAAGTCGAAGTGAAGCCAAGTAAGTCAAAAGTACTTTATTTATTTTTTTACTCAACTGTTGAACTATATAGTTTTAAAATTATGATTGAATTTCAATGTATTTATATAGAGGCAATTTTTTTTGCTTTTCGACCTTGAAATAAATTAATATTTTGGCAAAAGAGTGTCGGAGTTTTTGTTGAATTTAAAAATGTATCTTTGCTAACGATGTTTGACTTCTAGTTTAGTAGGTTTGTTGTAGTATAAATTTGTTTTGAAGGTTATCAATGGGAGCAAATTTCTCTTGTGATCTAACTTCAAAAGTGAAGTTTATCGGATCGGACTGAAATTTGCATAAAGTACTCACTATTGGTGAGTACTTGAACCGCTACACATATATTGCTATATTTCATAAAGAACTGCAAAGGTGGGAAAGAGGTTAAAAGCGTTTAGTCGAATGTGTCTGTGTGTATTATTTTTATATAGATTTTTCGCCTCTTTCAAATAGTTGAAAATTTATTACCCGACAATTCATCGATTTTTGACAATCCAATTTTCTAATTCTTCAATAAAAGTAAAGCTTGAAAATGGATTCCTTACACGAAATAAAAAATGTCTTTACAGTTTTTTAATAATTTTTTAAGGAAAAAGGTAATATTTTATTCCGGTTGACTTTGCTTGGTTGATGCTATCCAACTTAATGTTTACTAATCTTTTTTTACAGAATAATAAACAAACTCTTCCCTACCTTTGTAGTAATTTATGTTTAACAATATTTAGCGGTTGAACCAAAGTAACAATGTTCACCAAAAGATGTTCTGTCGAAATGCTTTTTTAATGTTTCACTTACGTACTTATTTTTATAATGTAGGTATTTTACGTCAATTTTAAGCTACTTCATTTTCTTTCATTGGCGTATTTTACCAACAAATCGCCTGGGATTAAAATGTTTTTAAACATTCATTTGTCAAGCATTTTCTTATTCTTTTCTTTTTTAAAAAAAGTAATAAAGTTGAGACCAGATTTGAGATTTTTCAACTATGCTTTTAATAGTAAGTTTTCTTTAGAATGCAAAGGTGACGTTACCCATTTTATAAACTAAATACTATTTATGGGTGATTCTTCAGAAAGATTAAATTTTAATAGATGCAAATAAAAAAAGAAAAACTTAATTCTTTTAATCTACACTCAAAAAGAAACGTTTCCACAGAATATTACGTCAAAATATTCAGTAGTTTTTGAGATGTCAAAAATTTTGAAATCGTTATTTTTCCTTTCCATCTTAACCAAAACACTTAATTCTTTTTTGAAAAAATTCATATTAAAAAACGAATAAATGGTTTATACCTATTATATGTTTATATAAAATTTTTATAAACAAAAAGGATATTAAATAATAATTGAATAATTTTTGAACGACCAAACGAAATTGAATGAGGCAAACACTAAACAAATCTTCGCTGTGGTTTCTTTAAGATTCCTAAAAAAATTTGTACAACGGAAACATCTTTATACAATATTTTGGTTCTGAAACTTCTAATGTTTACGCTAAAAGTGAAAAAAAAGAATGAAGTATTTTGGTTAAGATGGAAAATATTTTGACGTTATATTTGATGGAAACATTTCTTTTTATGTGTAGATTAAAATTCCTGAGTTTCATTGCAGTTGGTTTACTTACTCCGAAAAAACTAAATTTACCCTTGGAGTTGCACATTTAACATTTCTGTACTGTTTGATCATCCAGTATTATAACTATTAACCCTCGGAGCACACACAGTGCTACCCCCGGTCTGTCAGACGGCTATTCCCTTTTTACGGTTTTTTAGTAATTTATAATTTTCTAAAGACAACTATTGTAAATATTTTTTACTTTTCAACATAAAAAAGTAATTTCTATAATATTTTGATTCAATTTTTTTTATTTTTACATATGTTACAAGGCATCGTCCATAAATTACGTCACACGTTTTTAGCCCATTTTTGACCCCCTCCTCCCTTTGTCACACTACGTAACATCTGAAGGAACCCCCTCCCTCTAAATTACGTCACAATTCGTAAACCCCCCTTTAAAAAATTTTTCCAAAATGAATCACTGTCAATATCTAATTTTACATAAATAAAGTTACTTATATAATTAGTACATTTTTTAATATTTTAAAAACAAGAAATAGGTATATTTGATATTTTTATTTATTACAATTTTCTCATTATAATATATATAGAGTATAAAGTGTGACATAACAAAATAAAAGGTCCCCATCCCCCCTTTGTCACAATTAGTCACATTTTCATAGACCCCCTCCCCCCTAAAAAGTGTTACGTAATTTATGGACGAAGCCCAATACAAAATTTAACGAATAAAATTTTTTGAAAACGTTGTCACCTAACAGATTTTTATAAAATATGAAGCTACTGAAAAGATCAAGTTCTTATTATACTTTGAAAAAAGGTTACAAGCAAAGAAAATTTTTGTAGCGGTCTGTCAGACCGGCATAGCAGTATAAAGGCTAATATTTTACATTTGTACTCTTGAATTTGTACAATGAAATAAAAATATATTCTATACTGTAGTTTGTAAAAAAAGCATTTTTTGCAAGTTGTAGGCGACAACTGACTGGAGCATTATACTCGGGGAGAATTGGAACGTGTTATTAGAACCTAAAACCATTACTTTTAGGTCATAAGACTTCTACTTGTTACAATTTTTTAAAGAAATTTAAGTTTAAACTAATATACAGGATCACACAGACCCTGTATGTGCTCCGAGGGTTAAAAAAGATTTTTTTATTTTAAAGTTTAAAAAAACAAGCAGAGGGTATAATTTGTTGCAATTGTTTTTTTTCAAAACATAGGACGATTCCTTATCATTAAAATTTTAAAATTAATAAAAGAATATAAATTTTCTACATTTACAAAAATAAACTTTTAAAATTAGGGGCCGTACACATAATATGTCACGCGGCTAGGGGGAGGGAGGGGGTCTGAGAATTGTGACTAAGTGTGACATGGGGGAGGGGGGGTGAACTCATGTGTTACGTCACAATCTTTTAAATTCAAAGATTATAAGAAATTATATGTGACAATGTCACTTTTTCTAAATAAAACAAGTTAAAAATGCTTTAAACTATTTAATATCTATTATGTACCTATTTAACATCTATTGGTTTATTATTTATAATATAATATGATAAATAATATATTCTCTTAATTTGAATCAGTTAAAAATCTTGGTTTTAACTGACAATCAGCAGTGACTGACTTTTTGCTTCTGAATCAGTTAAAAAAATAACTGAAAAATTATCCACAAAACACCGAAACTTTTCTAAATATGTATTAAATTTGCTTGCATACTTCGAAAAATTTACTTGCAAAGTTTAGTTAAAATTGTGTAAAGATTTAAATTTTTTACTACAATAAATGTTTATCGTCAAATTTTCTTTAAAATATAGCTTGAAACATTCCTGAACATTTTAATTACATTTTCGACTATAATTTCGTGAATATTTTCAGGAAAGTTTCGCGTTAAACATTTATTGAAGTGGGATATTTAAATCTTTACACAATTTTCACTAAACTTTGCATTTAAATATTTCGAAGCTTGCGAGTAAATCTTTAATAAATTTTTAGGAAAGTTTCGGTGATATGTAGGTAGTTAAACGTGACTAAATGAATCAATCAAAAAAAATTGTATTGAAACATCAGTTATTTTTAACTAATTGTCAGAAAAAAATATTTTTAACTGATTCAATAATTTTGAGTGTAGGATATAATATATAATGTCAAATATATAAAATTCACATTAAAATTTACGTGTGTGACGTGAAGTTATAGGGGGAGGGGGGGTTCAAGGTTTGTGACGAAGTGTGACATAGGGGGAGGGAGGGGTTAAAAATGGTCAAAAATCGCGTGACGTATTATGTGTACGGCCCCTTAACAGAAATAGAAAAAGTTTATTAAAGACAGGGTGTCTAGCGTCCGAGAAAAACGGGAAAACCGGGAATTTAGTTCGACCGGGAAATTGAAAAAAATATCCGGGAATTTTTGGAAAGTTTCGCTAATTCATTAAAATCTATAAAAAAAATTTCAATTTAAGGTAGTTCTCCGGCTGCTACTCTTTTAAAAATTAATTTTCGATAGATTTTCTTCAAATTTTGAGGAAATATTTCTTCGGGTGCCCTTTAAATGTCATAAAAATTTCAAAATCTTTTGCCATGTCAAAAAACGAGATATTGTGTATCTAAAAGAAGACATAAATGCCATTGGATATTGCAAAATAATTCCGAAACAATCATTTATCCACAAATGTAAACGAAAATAATAGCAATTTCTATTATTCGAACTTTTAATTATCTGAATCAGATCCTGCCTGAATTAGTTCGGATAATTCAGTTTCCACTGTATTTAAAAAATTATGAAATTTTAATAGTATAGTCATTAATGTCTTAAAAATAAATCCGGGAATAGTTTAGTTTTAGGTCCGGGAAATCCGGGATTTTGCCGGGAATTTGAAAATCATAATTCGCTACACACCCTGAAAGATTATTTTATTCCATTTTTTAAATTAAAATTCACTTACACAAGGGTCAAATTTTCTCAAAAAAATCAAAGTTGGTCATGAGTCTATCAATTTTTGTGAAACTTGGTATAAAGGTAGTGTTTTATGACAGAAGATTTTAGGAAAAAACGACTTTTAAAAATTTTCAAAATTGTGGATTTTACCGGGCATTAAACATTAAAGCACATTTTTTTGAGCCCGGAAAAAAAGTCAAAAAAAAATTTGATTTCATTTTTTCGGGCATAAGCACCCCTTCGATTTTTTTGTAACTGTAATATTTGGATTCGTTATCTTCTCCAGAAATTTTTGCAAAAAAAAATCCCTGGAGACTTTAAAACTAACCGAAATATCGAATTTTTTGTCTCGAAGTGCACAGATATCGATCTCGCGTAAACACGCCTGAGATGTGCACCAAACGTTTTTAAGCTTGAATTTTCGCATTCTAATATGTTTTTGTTAATTTTTAGTAAAAAGGAAGGTTTAAAAATC